GGGGGGAAGTTTGGGACTTTCTTTTTGATATTCACGCGAATCGTCGCCGGGCCGTTAGCCGCTCTAAGCCTATCGGGGCCTAGTGTCATATGGCACGTGAGGGGTAAATGTTCCTAATCGATCCCAAAAAGGCAACCTGAGTGCATTCATGGACTATGATTTGGGATACTTCAACCACATGTAGAAGAGTGTTGAATTCCTGAACAATAGCATAACATATCTTGCACTCAAAGGGACCTTATGGATCTTGTATTACTAACATGCGATGAGGTCCCTGAGTGAGTGGCCCTTTCAGCGTATCTTCGTAGAAGAACGTGGTATGGAACTCAGCATGTTTTCCTCATGGAACCCAATGCAAACTAAACCTAGTAATGAATGCAAAATCGCCACTAGTCAAGTACCCAATCAAGCCAGTGAATAGTTTCTTTCCCACTCCGATAGTAGTTAAATTAGCCAAGTAACTACTTAGTAACCTGGCTTATCAAGACTCGGATTCTAGCAACTTCTTCCCGGCGAATACACTGGCGAGCCACCGCCCACGTGATTGCCCCGGATGGTCCCATGGCCCTCCCTTTAGTCTCTAAGCAGCTCCTCAGGTACTCCAGGTGAACTAGTTGGTACTACTAAGCAGGAACTCCCCCCCTCTCTCTCTTCCCAAAGGTGCCTTGAAACCCTCCCGGCCATCTTTGGTGCCTCCATCTCATCCTTTTGGCTCTTGCCAGTTCCCCCTCTTCATCCTTAACCTTCCCTACTGGGATCTATATTTCCCTACTTCTCTCCACTGGTCTATGTATGCCTGAGTTCAAGATCTCCGCTTCTTTGGAGGGCCACGGCGATGATGTAAGAACATCCCGGCTGTTGACGCTGGCCACCTTTCACCTTCAACCCCTCCATTGTCGCCCACTGACGCCTCTTTCTCTCACTCTCAGGTTCGCGCCGTGGCCTTTCCGAATCCCAATGCTATATTTTCGGCGTCGCGAGATGCAACAGTCCGACTCTGGAAACTAGTCTCTACCCCACCTCCGGCATATGACTACACCATCACCTCTCACGGCCAGGCCTTCATCAACGCTTTGGCATACTACCCACCTACCCCCCAGTTTCCCGATGGACTTGTCCTTTCCGGTGGTCAAGATACTATCATTGAAGCCAGACAACCAGGCAAAGCTGCCGATGATAACGCGGATGCTATGCTCTTGGGCCATACACATAATGTCTGTGCGCTGGATGTGTCACATGATGGCGGATGGGTAGTCAGCGGAAGCTGGGACTCAACAGCTAGACTATGGAAAGTGGGTAAATGGGAAACCGATGTCGTGCTGGAGGGTCATCAAGGGAGTGTTTGGACGGTGCTTGCCTATGACAAGGATACGGTCATCACAGGTAGGCGCGCCTTACCCCTGTATATGAGACAGATGGGTCGTCCTATGGATATGCTAATAACTCCCCAGGCTGCGCGGACAAAATAATACGCATTTTTAACACCTCTGGCACTCTGCTGAGAACAATCGAAAATTCCCAGGACGTTGTGAGAGCTCTTTGCAAGGTTCCCGCTTCGAACCCCACTGGGGCGCACTTTGCTTCGGCGAGCAACGATGGAGTGATTCGTCTTTTTACTATACAAGGCCAACTCGTCGGGGAGATGCATGGCCACGAGAGCTTCATTTATTCTCTGGCCGCTTTGCCTTCGGGTGAGTTGGTCAGTTCCGGAGAAGATCGGACGGTGAGAGTCTGGGATGGTACGCAGTGCGTACAGACGATCACGCACCCTGCGATCTCTGTCTGGAGCGTCGCAGTATGCGAGGAGACCGGCGACATTGTTACAGGAGCCAGTGACCGAATCACACGCGTGTTTAGCAGGAGCCAGGAGCGCGTGGCAAGCCCAGAAGTAGTACAACAGTTCGAGAAGACTGTGAAGGAGTCGGCAATCCCAGAGCAGCAGATTGGGAAGATCAACAAAGATAAGCTTCCGGGTACGGAGTTTCTCAGGCAGAAATCCGGGACCAAGGACGGGCAGGTGCAGATGATCCGTGAGGCCGATGGTAGCGTTACTGCTCACACTTGGTCAGCGGCCTCACGGGAATGGGTTGCGGTTGGCACGGTAGTTGATTCCGCTGCCAGCAGTGGAAGGAAAACGGAGTATCTGGGTCAAGACTACGACTATGTCTTTGATGTCGACGTGGAAGACGGCAAACCCCCCCTCAAATTGCCATACAACGTCTCTCAAAACCCCTACGAGGCTGCGACCAAGTTTATCCAGGACAACGAACTGTCGATGAATTACCTTGATCAAGTTGCTCAGTTCATCGTTCAAAATACGCAAGGTGCGACTTTTGGTCAGACGTCTCAGGGGCCGACGCCCGCGGGGGCCGATCCCTGGGGTCAAGAGAGGCGTTATCGTCCTGAAGATGCGCAGTCGCCCCCTGCTCCTGAGGCCCGACCGAAGGTCCTTCCGCAAAAAACATATCTTTCCATAAAATCTGCTAATCTTAAACTGATCGCTAAGAAGTTGCAAGAGCTGAACCAACACGTCATATCCTCCGGATCGAAAGACCTGTCGCTCAGCCCTTCAGAGTTGGAGACGGTGGCAACCTTGTGTGGTCAGTTGGAGTCTTCGAATGTTGAGCAGTCTCCGGCAGTGGAGGCTGGTGTTGTTTTACTATACAAGGTCGCAACCGTCTGGCCCGTCGCAAGCAGACTACCAGGTCTTGATCTTCTCCGCTTGTCCGCCGCTGCTACTCCCGTGACTGCCACTGCAGATTACGATGGCAAGGATCTCATCTCAGGGATTAAGTCTAGCGGGGTGTTCGATTCACCGTTCAATGTCAATAATGCGATGCTGTCAATACGCATGCTCGCCAACCTTTTCGAAACGGATGCGGGACGTGACCTGGCCACTAGCAAGTTTGAGCAGATTCTGAGCGGCGTCAAGTCCGCTTTAACCAACAGTGGGACGACGCCGAACCGAAATCTCACCATTGCCATTGCAACACTCTACATCAACTTTGCCGTTTACCTGACCTCTGCGGGCAGAGAATCGATGCCTGAGTCATCGGAACAGGCTCTGGTGCTTCTCGGCGAGCTAACGACATTGATTACCGGTGAAAAGGACTCTGAAGCAGTCTACCGCGGCCTTGTGGCTCTAGGGACCTTGATCAAGGGACTAGGGGAAGAAGTCAGGACTGCGGCCAAGGAAGTGTACGATGTTGATGATGTTTTGAAGAAGGTTTCAAGCTCTGGTCTTGGTAAAGAACCAAGAATCAAGGGTATCATAGGCGAGATCAAGGAGTCGTTATCATGAAGGTATAAAATGTTGAGGCCCGGGTCTTAAGTCAACTCATACCTCAAGGAGCGTCTGTGTTCTGCTTCACCACTGCTGTCTATAGCACGTATACTCTCTAGTTCACGATAGCGATACACACTACACTGCATGAATTCAACATTGGACATATTCCAAATCAGTGCTAACACTAGGTATCGTATAGCGCTATACATTCAATGTAACGGCAACGTAAATAATCACTTTAACCTTCATTCTCTATGTACCCAAGCCTTGCTGATTAGGCCACTTTATTCCATCATTTACCCACTCCATTCAAAGCCTCCCCTCAGCATTCACCCCCACCTCGACAATCTGCTCAATACCCGGATACTCCGGCAAATCCAATTTATACTTATCCGCAATACTCTTCGTCAAGAATCGTCCACCTAGAAAATGCCGTCCCTTGTAATACTTCACGCACGGCTTCGGCGCAGTCAGACTAATAAGCGCCTCCGGCATGAACTTCGATCCTGGGCCTTCTTTAGGTGGCCCGCTCTCAATGTCCCAGGAACTGGGCGCATCGACGCTCAGAACGGGGATACTGGCTGTTTCGATTTGGGAGATGATGGTCGGGAAGGGTTCGCGGAGGGGTCCGCCGAAGGAGAAGCCGAAGATAGCGTCGACGAGGAAGTCGGCGGATTTGATGGCAACGGGGAGGTCGGAGATGAAAGGAACAGAGAGGTTCTCGAGTTGGGTTTTGAGGCGCTGTATTGTTGAATGGGGTTAGGCTGGGGCTTATGATTCGAGGGTGATGTGTATAGTGATGGGATGGGATGCGTGTATATAGATATATATATACAGAGTGGGGAGCTCCAGCTTCATGCTTCGGGTCATGTCAATGACCTGTGGGGCGATTACTGAGAACTTACCTGATAGAGCTCGTTCTTGCCCTGCTTTGGGTAGTAAACCGAGGGCTTATAGCCATAGTGGGCTAGATGGCGTGCGGCTACCAGACCATCGCCGCCTGGGAGGAGGTTAAAACCGTTGTTTGTTCTGTGCCCGAGGGAGGTGAAGGGTCGTATGAGGCCTACCGTTGTTTCCTGGGCCACAGATAACCAAAACATCCTTACCCGAGCTTGGCGGATGAACACGGTAGACTGAGATGTCAGAGTGCCTGGTTCTACATTGTTGCTGGAAGGGATCGCATTCTCACCGGCTTGAGAGACAGAGAGGCCCGCTAGTTCCATTAACTGGTCCAAGGACCACCCACCTATTTCCATGAGGTCTTTATCGAGAGATGCGGCATCCTTTGAGGAGATGGCCTATTTGTTCATTCCTTGTGAGTCTGTGCTGCTCTTCTTCCTCAGTGGAAATAGTAAAGATGTTACACACCTTCAACGACATCTTGGCGGATCTACTATAGTATCGAAATAATGCGGGGATAGGGTTCCGCCTGGGGAGCGCAGCACGGAACATACAATGGAGCTCTAAGTGCAAGGCTGAGTGTGAAGAGTATGCAGCTCCACTCCGTTATCCTCAATGCAATAAATAAGTGTAGAAAACGTCGCCAGGAGGAGACAATTCTTTAAGGTGGTGTAAAGGCCATTGCATCATTGTTATCGGGCCCTCCCCACTGACCGACGCTAGTCCGGATTCCGCAGTCTCGGCCCGACAGATCTCCCGAACAGGCTGGAAACTGCCGCGGAGTCGGAGACTCTGGCCTGCTTGAGCTTGATCAAGTTGCCCTTCTGCTGTGCAGTCGCTCCTTTCATTTTCCTTCCCAATTGCAGAGATCACCGGTCAAGATGGTTGTTCGCATTCGCCTCTCCCGCTTTGGAAACCGGCACCAGCCGTTCTACAACATTGTTGTAGCCCAGGCACGGTAGGTAAATTTTTTATGGATACCGGGAATCAGTATATCGCGTCCCGCGAGCGACTCATTTGGAGGTTTTCTAAGGGGAATATGAGATCTAATGCTAATGGAGATATATCCTATAGGTCGGCCCGCGACTCAAAACCTCTTGAAGTCATCGGTACTTTTAACCCTATCCCGCAGCGCCCTACGAACTTGTCCGAGCAGGAGGCCCGCACCGCCAAAGCATACAAGGAGATTTCGCTCGATCGATCTCGAGCCAAGTACTGGATTGGTGTTGGTGCACAGCCCAGTGATAGTGTTTGGAAGTTACTAAGCCTCGTACGTTGCCTGCCACTGCACACAAGCATGTCCGCCAGTAGGAAGGGTTATGGACCTGGGTAACGACAGTGATTGACTAATAATCGGTATTTACTACAGGCCGGGATTGTGAAAGAAAGCAAAAATGTGCAAAACTGAGGCGTGGATATCTGTTGAATTCGACATCTGTATAATTGCACGGTGCACTCACCTTCGAGCTTCCATTGCTCGGATAGGGTGAGGTGAACACTGTCATTTGGGGGAACGTTGGCGATGGCTTTTCCGGAGTGGAAAAGTATCTGTTTTTCTTTTTCAATATCATGCTACTGGCATTTCTCATGGCGTTTACTGAGAACTATTCTCCTGGAATTGATTTATGGGTCGAGCTTTATGTACATTATGTGAGTCGATTACGTGCTGCCTCTGTGCTTGTGTGATATACAATATGCATTTTATCAGGCCTCTGTCTCCCTCTCTCCCTGTATAAGTCGTTCAAAATGCAGCCAGATGCCTCATGTTAGGTATGGCGACTATGACTGGCAGGGATGAGATTTCCGCGCTGCATGAGCAGGCATACCTTCCTTGAGCCTGCTAAAATAATGCTAAAGCCACCTCCGGGATCAGGCAGGGTTTTCATACACAGGCGGGCACAGAAGCAGAGAAAGAGGGCATTAGTTCTAAACTATGTTCGTGTTGAAAGTTCCAGATGCGGTGTGGTAGATCTGAAGAGATACCCCAAACAGACGCCGTCGATGTGTTCCTTTTTTGCTGAACAACGTCGGGCTCATTATGATTGACCCATTCTTATGTTGCTTAGTTAATAAGGACAGGGGGGAGCAGAAAGTCCCGAGGGACTCCGTACTTTGTGCATGTCAGCTCCCTTGCGCTCTAGGCTGGCAGGTGACCATGCAGGCATCACCACTTGGCTACCCGTTAGATCAGCACTGTCATGAAGCACACCCAGATCGCCCAATCCGAGCCAACCACATCTGCGACAATAAAAGGGCGTTTGATCCTTGATGCACGTCTTCAGTTTCGGTGAATAAGAATGCGATGGGAGATTCAGGATATCAGACGGAATGAAAGTAGATGAAACTCATGAGGTGTGTACTTTCTATCTATCGCGTCTTATCAGTCTAACTACATCCACGTATCAAAACGACGAGTCGAACTTGGAAGCAGAAAATTTTTCTTTTTCTTCTTGATTTATTCCCTCTCGCGAGCCTGGCGTATACATTACCTAACCTGCATATAAGCATCTAGATGAAATAGCGCGTTACTGGCATCTAGTCCTATGCTGCTGCTATGATGCCTGTAAATCCCGAGTCATCGGTGCCACTCCTTCAGCCGTCATCCTTCCCAGGTTGAGCGGCAACCTGGCGCACGGAGACATGGTACTCCGCAAACACTACTAGGGAGAGGTAAATAAGAGGGGGGGGAAATGACCACGCCTTGGGTCTTTCGAACTACTGGGTAGATACCGTTTACCACCAGCATCCACTGGACACCTGAAAGGATTCCCGTTCCCCTCTCTCATTGTCCCAAATCCCAATCATTGCCCGCGCAATGAGGATCAGTCATGGACCAATCCCGTTCTGCGGGCAAGGCACAGAACGCACCAGTCCCGAGTCCAGACGTCTGACTGCCCGTGATGATTGGCTGTCGTAGGGAATTTCAGGTGGGAAGATCAGCGTCAGAGTTTGTCTTTCCCATGGATCTGTGGCAGCCACACCACCAGGGCCCGCCTCTCCCACTCATCCCTACTGAGGTACATAATGGTACCTATCGACGCTCATGTGTGCTCATGTTAGCTCATGTACGGCGAGGTCTCGCACATCCGTCCCAGCTACGTAAGCGTCTTGCCCGATTGAGCGATACTGTGATTGGTTGACTAGCTTGTTTGAAGCCAGAAAACACCAAGGAAGGACATTCTGGTTCGGTCTGACTATCTAACACCCAGGATAAATAACAAGCTAGCTATGCGCGCTAATCGCTACGTTTGTGCAGACAACAAGAACTAGCCTTGATTTCAGCAGAAGAGAAGATAGTAACCATTTCTGCCAATGAGTCTGTCATGAATCTTGTCACAGTGATGAAGAGTCCTTTATTATATTTTCCCCTTCGTACGGTCAGCTGAGAGCATCGCCTATACATTCCGTCCATGGTCCATGGTGCCGAGGCAGTCACTCAATGAGCCCTTAAGGGAAAGCATTCGCGGGTTTTAGTGAATGCTATCGTCACATATCCAAAAACAAGTGCGTTGGGAGAAGAAAAATATAGTGCTTTAGTATACTAGATCTGTAGCCTCTACCTACGTACGAGTCTGGGCTTAACTCGAACGGTACTTGTAGGCTTCGGAGTGGATCACTCGATTCTGTTTGATTATGTGCAGCAAGCTAGGAAGGCTTCGGGCTGTAAGGCAGGATGGCTCTTCGACATCCATGGGTATGCTCCGCGGGGTGGCTTTTGTGTCGTACAGAGCGATAACCCCCCCCCCCCCCCCCGTGATCAGGTGGATGGGGTAAATAGGGTTCCTATAAACACGGTTGAAATAATTTTGCCTTTATCACACGGGAAAGGTCTTCGTCATCTATATCGGGGGCATGAGTCAAGAGGAGGACACGACTCAGGGTGGTATTCTAGGTAGAACTGGCAGAGGGAGGGAAGGCTGCAGTATAGCCCCAGAAAGTGCCGGCATGAAATGATGGCCTACTGTATGAGAGGACTTTCCGAAAACCCCACCAGCGACTGAGGGGGATGGTAATTGATTCCCTGCCGTTTGAGCTGACTGGTACAATCGGGTAGATGCGTAGTTAGGTAGATTCTGGCTGGATCTGGATCTTCATGATTACTGTAGGTCCTTAACGTTGATGTTGCTGTTCATCTTTATCACTATTCCGCATCCCTTTTGTTCCGTCGTAATATACAAGTGATAAGCGTTACTACGAAGGTATCGAGACTAAATATCCACCCCATGATGTTCGTTACCAGGCCAAAATCAAACCAATGTATCATAATTATGGCCTCGGCAATTGAACTTATCCAGATTGGATGTTGTGGTGAATGTGAATCTGCCTTTGAGAGAGGGCTCCTGCCTCCATATCTGCCACGCGCCTTGGGCCGTTGGGGGCACGCACCTGTGCTGTCGCATCCGGATGCTTGTACCCTCCTTTGTTTCGGTTGTTTGCGTGAAGATTGCCGCAATCGGGGGGTCCTCTTTGGAGAGATGGGGAAAATTCAGATGGTCTGGATGCGAAGATGTCTCCTAAAATGATACCTAGAAGCAGGTGAATCTGTTGTTCGACCAAGCAGACCATTCGACTTGGTCTAAACCGAAGTGGTTGATCGATGCATGGATGAAGACTTTCCAGGCACCCACGGCCACCGGACAGATCCAAAGCACGCCAAAGCAAGCATCAGCACGGGATCGGCTGGCACTCCATTGATAGCGCGTCGTGTCATCTTAAACTGCCGGGTCGCGCTTCAGCTGCAAGCGCTCGTTGGACGGCGCATCTTAGTCAACTTTTTTCCTTTTAGACCCGTTCTAGTTCGGGGATTAGTCGACAGGCTCAAGGGACTCCCGACTGGCCATCGCTTCATGGAACGGAGCCAGTCTCGATCCGTGGACCAGACCAGACGAGACAGAAGAAGGTCGGTCGGTCGGCCGTCCTCAGTGACGGTAGTTTCCTTTTCGCCCCTTCAGCTTTCCCTCTTCTTTCTTTCCCCCCCCTAAAATTCCAAAAGAACCGGCCAGTCCACTTCTCTAAGTAAAGGACCGTTCCGGAACTTGACGTTCATTCATCTTTCCTCCCTCATTATTAGTATAGTAGTATTATTATTTTCATCATTTTTATTTTATTTTATTTTATTTTTTGATTTATTCTATTTCATTTTCTATTTCATATCTATTTTATTCCACGTCTTATTTCTAAGAGTACTACCACTTCTCCTACGTACTACAACTACTACTCTTACTACCAACAACGTACTGTCTACAGTACTCCATAGATACTACCACTACCCATTTCGCCGGATCCTCTCTCACCATTTCCAGTTTCAGTTCCTACGGTTCCTAACGCCGATTGTACGGCAGCCTTTCCACTTCCTCTTCTCTTCCTCTTCCTCTTCTTTTTCTCATTCCCTTTCCATTTCCCTCCCTCTTCCCTCTCGTCATCATCATCGTCATCATCTATCCATTCCATTCCATCCATCCATCTATCCACCTAACTATCTGTCTATCGATCGATCTATTCCTTCTCTCATTAAATACTACTCCCAGAAATACGTCGATCCCATCCGAGTGGCAGGCTCTTGGGTACATGATTTGATTGATTACATCGAGTCCCTACTAAACTACTTACTACTACTACTCCTACTCCTACTACAACTACTTCCCACACCTGCATGCACTACACCACGAACTAAACCACTATCACCACGCATCCTACCACAACTGCCTACGGCACTTACTTAACGCGCCTCCCCCTCCCTCATCTTCCCACCACCCACTCATTCCCTTCCCACCACTCACTAACCCACTATTACTTGACTTGCTACCAATCTCTCTCTCCCTCTTCCCCCCCCCCTCCTCCTCCCTCCCTCCCCCCCAAACTCAACCCAATCTAACTTTATCCTTCCCCCGAACGGTCTTGGTCGTCGCCGTCCTTCCTCTCTTTCTTCTCCTCTCCCTCTTCCCTTTTCCCTCATCCTTCCCCCCCAATCTCCTCCCAATCCTTCCCCCATCCCTCGCCCATCTTCCCTTTCCGTTCCCGTTCGCGTCTTCCATCCTCCCCTATTCTACTTCTACCTCCCCAACTTCCTCTGTACCATTTACATCTTATTGCTGAATCGCATAATCATTCCTTTTTGCATTTGATTATCAATTCATTTCTCAATTTTTTTTTTTTTCCTTCTTCATTTCCATTCCCATCGTGTGTGGCCTACTTCTTGTCTTTCCCTCGGACACTCGGTCCGTCGCATCCTTACCTCCTTAAACACGCATACCGCGGTCTCAATTGCGCGTGTTAATCCATCGCACTTTTGCTTCCTCCCAACGAGATTGCGTCGGCATTTTGATCCTATAACTTGGTTGATATACCATTTTACATCTTCCACTTGTTCCTGACACTCCTCTGGCTGAGACCCTCCAGCCTCTGTCCCATCTGTCATCCGGTTGCCTCCCGCACTCCCTTACCTTCTTGGAGGCGCCCGTGCTCCCGTCCGTTCGTGGGGTTAATCGATCGAGTCAGACGCTTTTAGAATTTCGGTCCGCGAGGCATGAGTGGCAGTTCGAATCAGTCCACCCGTACGAGTCCAGGCTCCTACAGCACTACTCAGCGCACGCCCTCGGTCTCTTCGGGCGCGTCGCCTACCCACCAGCCGCTTTCGGCCTCTCAAGCGCCCTCGACGGCTCAGAATGCGATGTCGACCGACGTGTACAATACGCCCGCATCGCAGGCACCAACTTCGTTAGGTCCTTCGTTTAC